AATTTCCTCACTATTACAACTATCGATGGCGCTGACTACACCGTGCGACAAAAACCAAAATTTTTAAAACACACTAAAAAATCAATATATTTACAAAACTGGGGGCCAAATATAGTAAAACTGGTTTTTAGTTTTTCTCTCTGACGTCAGGATTTTTATTTAAAGGACTTTGGAATTTCTAGAATATGATTGAATAAAAAAATATTCAAAAGATTCGGTGCATTGTAGAATAACAATATGGGTATCAATTAAAAAGAAAAATTCTGTAGAATTGAAAAAAAAAAATCAATTTTTTGGTGCACCAGGACGAATAAGTGTTTGAAATGTCCTTTTAAAACTTTATCCTTGAATATCCTTGGAAATTTCCAATATTTATTTTGGAAAAATATATGTCAAGGACTAATATGTAAACTACCACATCCTCGAATTTCGTCCTTCTAACTTTATTAGTTTTAGATAAAAAAAATTGTTCACTTCTCTTTAAAAGATTTTGATAGTTACAATGCACATAAATGAAGATACTGTAATCATTACACTGTACAGCACCCGGCTGGGTATTGGACCAAACCAATTTTTTTTTAAAAGATTGAGCCATAGGTAAGAAATTAATCTTTTCCGTTTTTCGAAGTTAGCATCCGAAATCGAGTTATGGGCCTTCGAAGTTCGAAATAGGATGTTTGGTAAAAAATTATTTTTGTATGTAAATAACTAGAAACTAGAAATATACACGTAGTCCACCTTTTACTCTTATTTAAATGGTATATAACTTTTTTTGTGCAAGCTTATATTACAGGTCGCTGCTGTGGTGTAGTATTAGCAGTGCGCGCTTTCATTCACCAGGTCAAGGTTTTTCTTAACAGCGGTCGTCTCTCGGCAGGCAATGGCAAACCTCCGAGTGTATTTCTGCCATGAAAAACAGCTTCTCATAAAAATACAATCGCCGTTCGGAGTCGGCGTAAAACCGTAGGTCCCTTCGCTTTGTGTGACAACATCAAGGCGCACGCCGCAAGTTGGAGGAGAAGTTCGGCCAAACACTAACATATGTGTAAGCGCCAATCTATTATTATTATATTATATTACAGGTGCTATAAGGGGTCAAATGTCGGGTCTTCGAAAAATTAAAAACCTTATATTTCCACCAATTTTGAACTGATTTTCAAAAAATTGGTATCTTTCTTCTTATGTGCATATTTGTTTTTTTCGTATGTAAAAATTAGAGAAAATACATTTAAAAGGAAAAAATATTTTTTTTATAAAGAAAATTATTTTATTCAACAATTTTTATGAGCTTGAGGCCTTTTTAAGTGAAAACAAAATAAATAAAAATAACAAAAACCAAATAACTTAAGGACGAGCACACCTAAAAGTTAAACATTCTAATAATAGAAATATTAACAAAAATCAACAAAACCAACAACCACATGATGTAGTGAATTGCAGCGGAATAGCTGCGCTTGATTGTAGTTGGCTTAGCAAAGTGAAATAAGTGGAAATAAGCAACAAGAATTAACAAGGCAAACTTAGCACAGTGCGTAGGCAACTGGCTGAGTCAGTGGTGATCGGCGGTTCGAATCCTACTGAAAGAAGTCTAATGAGGAGATGTGGGGATTTCCGAAATAGCTATCACTTCTACCATTTTTCAAATTATTGTTGCTTTTCCACAATAAGTTTTCACTTAAAAAGCCCTCAAGCTCATAAAAAAAGTTGAATATAATTGTTATAAGGCCATAAAAAAACAAAAAACGAAAATTATTTTAAACAAAAAAATTAATAACCGATTTTTAAAAAAATTACATCGTAAACGAAATCAAACCTTTCTTCTGATATGCTTATTTGTATACTTCGTATATAAAAATTTGAGAAAAAATGCTTAAAATGAAAAAATACCTTTTTTTATAAAAAAAAAATAAACAAATTAACTAAGAAATTACTAACCGATTTTTAAGAGTTTAGTATCGTTGTAAAGGCGATTAAACCCCCTTTCTTCTGGTATGAATATTTGTATACTTCGTATATAAAAATTTGAGATAAAACTCTTGAAACCAAAAATACCTTTTTTTATAAAAAAAAATATTCAACAATTTTTATTGAGCTTGAGGCGGTTTTTTAATGAAAACTTATTGTGGAAAAGCAACAATAATTTGAAAAAAATGGTAGAAGTGATAGCTCTTTCGGAAATCACCACATTTCCTCATCAGACTTCTTTCAGTAGGATTCGAACCGACGATCCCACTGACTCAGCCAGTTGCCTACGCACTGTGCTAAGTTCGCCTTGTGAATTCTTGTTGCTTATTTCCACTATTTCACTTGCTAAGCCAACTACTTTCCTACTGAAAGAAGTCTGATGAGGAAATGTGGTGATTTCCGAAATAGCTATCACTTCTACCATTTTTTCAAATTATTGTTGCTTTTCACAATAAGTTTTCATTAAAAAACGGCCTCGAGCTCAATAAAAATTGTTGAATATAATTGTTATAAGGCCATAAAATAACAAAAACAAATACAATAAAAAATATTTAAAAAAAACTTACAAACCGGTTTTGAAAAAATTGGTATCGTTGTAAAGGCTACCAGAAAACCTATACTCTCTCTTAAGCCCAAAAACTTCTTTTTATATACATAAAAAAAATAATAAAAAACTTTTTTTCCCTCTATGTAAACCCCTGCCCCCTACAACACAATTAAAGTATTTAAACCGTAGGCACATCATACGGTCACTTTGTTCTTTTAGAGGGCATACATGGTTCCATAATAATGATTCCAGTATCTTCATTTATGTATATTGTAACTATCATTCTTATATATATATATATATACTAGTGGTACCCCGGTGTGCTTCTCTACACCAAATATTGAAAAATGAATGAAAAATCCTGGAATTTTTCTATATGAAAATTTACCATCTGTTTTATTTCAAAATTTTTTATTCTTTATTTTAAAACTTAATTCAACACATTTGGATATACAACTTTTTTTGTTTTTCCATATGTTTCGGTATGAATAAATAAACTATTTGGAATGCCAACTCTTGAACAGGCCACGTATAGCTACCAATTCCAATAATCTACCACAAATATTTCAAGAGATATACCAGATGAAAATTTTTGTTAGTATGGGTGGTGCCACGCCCCCTTTTCCGAATTCCGGGAAACTTAACACAAACCATCTGCATAATAGCCCGACTATGCCGTATAAATTTGGTTGAATTCTTGCACTTATTTTTTGTATATAAGATGTGAGGTGCCACGCCCTCTTTCCAATACCGCCCATTTTTCTCCATGAGTATGGAATTATTTGATATACCTCTATACCAATTTCCAGTACTCTACCACAAATATTTCAAGAGATATACAACATAAAAATTTTAGTTAGTATGAAAGGTGCCACACCCCCTTTCACGAATTCGGGCAAACTTCACATAAACTATCTGCATGATAGCCTGAATATGCCTTATAAATTTGGTTGAATTCGGTGAAGCCGTTATCAAGTTATAAGCTCACACCAAAAACGTGTACTTATTTTTATACATAAGATACATATGCCACGCCCCCTTTTCCAAATTTGGGCAAACTCTACATAAGATATCTACATGATGGCCCGAATATGCCATATAAATTCGGTTGAATTCGGTGAAGCCGTTCTCAAGTTATAAGCTAACTCACTAATTTCTATATATAAAATATAGGCGCCACGCCCCCTTTTCCGAATTCAAGCAAACTTCACATAAACCATCTGCATAATAGCCCAAATATGCCGCATAAATTTGGCTGAATGCGGTGAAGCCGTTCTCAAGTTACATGGTCACACCAAAAACGTTCACTTATTACAACGCTTTTATCAACTTGCAATGTTGTGTGTCCAGAAACTTTCAATGTTGTGGATCCAGAAACTTTCAATGTTGTGTGTCCGACACCATAAAACCTTTGCTTTGAAAAGTTCCTATAAAAAAGCATAGTGCATAGGGCGACATCTGTAGTGAATAGGGCGAGGTAGATGACATCTAGATGTCGCCCTATGTACTACGTTTGCTACAGCGGAAATAGACGACACGCCATTTCTTTAAATAAAATTAATTGGTGCTCGTTTGTATGTACATACATATGTAAATGCATGTGTG